AAAAGAGAGAGATTAAAAAAAAAAAAATATGGTAAGACAAATTTGTTTTAAGATGTTTTGTAATTGGTTTGAAGACTAATGAGTTTTCTATTTCTCCTTTTTTCAAACAATATTATAAAAATCTCATGAAAAAAAAAATTTATTATAAAAAGAAATAAAAAAAATAAATTATGAATAACTTTTGTCCTTTTCTAAAGCTGGGAAAAACAATCACTTGTATTGTCCGATTGAAAAGGCAGGGCCATTCATTCAGGTGCTTCATAAAAATTGCGTAAGTGTAGAAACCCTGAAACGGACCCACTAAGAAAATTACAAACCTTGAATAAGGAAAAATAAGAAAAGAGATTATAAATATTAATTGATTATCTATTTCTTTTCAAAATTTAAAGAAATAAATTTTAAAAATAAATCCTTTTATCGAATAATTCATGGAAACAACCTTTCCCTCCAAGAGAGAAATTCCATGTTCCTTGTGATATTGAGAGTTCTATTGATCCTTAATTTTGTACCTATTAACCTTGGAAAATTTGTTCCTTCCAGACTGCACAGCATTGAGTTCGTGAATTTTAGGAATAAAAATTATTTTTTATATAAATTGATAGTTTTAGAATTAATTATTTTATTTCTATTTTATTTTTTGTCTAATATTTTTTAAATTTATTTCTCTTTAATTATAAAGAATTAATATTAAAGGGAATTCAATCAAGTTAAATTTTCAATTTTTTTAAAAAATCAAAAATGGTTTAATATCAATTAATGAAAACAAAAATAGTATATATGAATATAAAATGAGTAAATATGCTAAAATACAGGTGTTTACTTACATATCAAAGGTACTTTCTTTTTGAGTACTTGGTTCATCCCTCCACACAAGATCCAAGAACCTTCATATATATAATTCCATATCGTGATATAATAAAATGCATTATAATTCATACAAAATCTATTATTTATATTAATTTAGAACTGTCCATTATAGGATAAGCAAAAGCTAACTTAACTTTTTTCAAAAACAAAAATAATCACATAAAAGACAATAAAAATGGGCCTGATAAATAAACATGCTCAACCATCTTCGTGGCTTTATTCAATTATATCCTGTTTTTTTCAAACTTCTCTTCACTTTCCATATATACAAATTTAGGGTTGGAGTTTCAAATAAGAAAACAATTACTACAAGGGTCTAGTTAGCTTGAAAAACGACCGTCACTTAGAAAAAAAAAAATTTGAGCAATCTTCCTTTTCTCATTCCAATCGATCTCTATCTATCTCCCTATCAAAGAAATGTAAATTATTGCCTTCAATTAACCAAGTCATCCAATCTTCCTCTCTCATTCATAGATTTTTGGTTTCTTGAAAGATATGGTAAATTTTATATTGGAGAGTGTTGTTTGATGTGTTAACTGGGCTCAGATTAAGTTAACTCAAAATTTAGTTTATAGGGTTTTATATTCATTATATTTTATATTCTATAACTCTTAAACTCTAGTTAGGGTATAGGGTGCAAAATGGATATACGTACATTACATTTAAGTAATGTGAATGGTGTGTTTGGTAATGGCTACCCGTAATGTTGTTGAAAAAAAAATAAATAAATAAAAGGAACTCCATGAAAAAATATTGATTTGAATCATTAAAATTGTTTAACTAAATCATAAAATTAAGAAAATAGCTAGACAATATTTGAAAATTACTCTTTTCCAATAAAATATAAAATTGATGCTTTCAAAGTGTTAAAGCAAGTCATGTATTGATAAATTTCATTCTTATAAAAAAATCCTCTATTTCTGAAAACCTAATGGATTTTGACTGTTGTCTTGCTCAAATACTATAAAATCCATATAAGGACAACTCTCTTAGCATAAAATTTCTATACCCTCAGATGAAATAAGTATCCAACCATTTCAAATTCTAACCGAACTTTAAACCTATAGCAACTATATTTTCCTATATCTAAGATTGAAAGAAAGCATCAATTATTGCATTCTAAACCGAACTTTACCTAATATACAATAGTTTTCCGAAAATAATAAAATTATACTTATTAAACTCCAAAACGGAGCCCAAAAAAGGAAAAACTATCTTAAGAAAAGGTCCTTTTCTTCTAATTACCAACGATTTAACTAAATTACATTTTGATTCAGGCTATTATTATAATACATGAGAAGGAAAAGAAAAAATAGGGCATTTGTATAAACTGCATATACCCTCTGTTAGTTTCATTAATAAGACTTCAAGCAAAATGTTGATGCAAATTATACTGTATTCCGGTGAAATGAATCCTCCTGGTGATGAATATTGTCCACCTGGACAAACCCATTATCGGAGCCACCCAACCTATACCAAAAAATTAAAAGACTATCAAAAACTCACTTCCTGAAGAATTTAATTATTAAGCCTGAAAATATTAAAAGAAAAAGGGTTTCTAAAACATAATTTTCTTCAATTTGAAGTCGCACGGGACCTCTGTGTTTCTTGATCGGTATGAAAAAATATGAAATTCTGCTGATGAAAATGAAAGAGAAATGAACAGACAACTCTAAAAACACAGAGAGAAAGGACAAAAGTAAGAAATAATAAAGTGATTTGTCTGCAAAACCCATCATGTAGAAACTATTATATATATCTCTTTTGAAATTTTTTCATCGTGTTCTTTGCCTCTTAATTTGGCCAAATAGCTCTCGTGTGATTCAAAGATCCTCTTACTTAATAGTAGAGGAGAAGGAGAGGAATCCTCTACTCTAGTTTTTTGGAAACGAAATCTTGCTATTTATTTGCGGTTTGTGCAAGGTAATTAATGTAGGCTTGTGTGAAAAGGTTAAAACATGGAATGTTTGCTTATTTCCTTTTTTTTTTTTTTAAGAAAGATTATTTCCTTCCCTTCCCTGAGATTGTAGTTGAGCTTGCTGTATCCTGTTTTAAGACCAAACTTGACCCCTGTCTTGACCAGTTGTCGGGTGCTCAATGTAAACTGGCTGGCTAGTCCTCGTACCGCCAACCAAAATTCCAAAAAATGAGCATTTTTAAACAGTTCAAATTCTATTGAATTAAAAAATAACTTTCCTGAACCTTAATAAACCAACCGACCATTAGCTCAGTTGGTAGAGCGGAGGACTGTAGTTGGTTTCAAACCTCAGATGATAACTTAGGTCGCTGGTTCGAATCGGAGTTCGGATTTTTTCATTCAAAAAAAAAAAAAAAAAAAGAGCATTATAAAGTAATGATTTTAGTATTTGAATTGGATTTCCATTCAAATCTTTATTCATTATGAGAAACTGTTTTAAAATCTTTTGATTAATTTCACAAATTTTTGGTAATTTTTTTTTTAATGCTAAACAATCCAATACGACCAAGTATTGTTTTTTTTTTTTTTTCCCCTTTTACCATTTAAAATAACTAATCTACGTCCAAAAATTTGGTTGAAATGGCAATTTCAATTTCTTTTCTTATTCCCTATCAATGATAAATGATATATATATTAATTCTAATTTAATATATCTATATCTATAATATACCGTAATACGCTATTATTTTTTTTCAATAGTTTTGAAAATTTTTTTTCTTATTTCTAAAAAAAGTTAAAGATTTAATTAATAGTTTTTACTTTTACATATTTAATAAAGTTTCTTTTGTTTTTTGAGCTTTTAGTTAAACACGTTAACATGGTTTTCTTATTTTATTTTTCTTATTTCCATTTATTTTTTCTTATTTTTTTGAAAAACTATTATCTTTGCATATAATCATATATATCAACGTTATATTTGCTTTACTTTCACAGATTTTAGGAAATTTAATTAATATATTATTTTTAAAAGTTTATATTTCCATTTAATTTTAGGCTTTCGTACACCACGACGTAACTACATGGTAAGTCATATACGACTGTGACGATCGATAGGTTCGAATCCCCCTCTCCCCAAAACTAAAAAAAAAAAAATTAGGCTTTCAATTAACAGTGCTAAAAATACGTTTCATATTTTCTATTTCTTTTATCACATTTTTTTTTTTTATTTTTGCATATCTCTTCATTCTTTTTAATTTTCTACAAATTTTAATTTTTCTTTATTTCTGGAAAGTAAAATTAAAAAACACTAAATTAAAAGTATGTTTTATCTCTTGTTTTTTTTTTTTTTGTATTTATCTAAATTTAAATAGAAGGAATTAATGGTCGAAAAAGAGCAAACCAGTTTGGATGCCATTAATGTATTAAAGAAAAAGGAATGAAGTTGTTAACTTTAACTAAAATCAGAGGGACTAAGCAATAAATTTACCCAATAATTGTTAGAAGTAAGATTATGAATAGGTGGAAATATAAAAATAAAAACTCAACTTGGCCATCCGATCTTATTGGCCAATACAAAAATCTAATTTTATATAGTTATCAAACCTTAACTATGAAAAGAAATGATAAAAAAGGAATCAAATTTTTAATTAAAAAAAGTAAAATAATATTTTTTTTAATATTTTTGAACCAATAAATTTGCTACTATTCTAAAGTTAAAAATTTATTTATTTTATTATTTTTGGCTAAAAATTTAATAACCCAATTTGGAATGTTACTATTTTTATTTTTTGAGATTAAAACGAGAAAATTCCTTTACTCAGAAACAGAATCCATTACAAATAAGTGAATATGACAGGAAGTTCCATAGAAACCTTTAAATGTACAATGAAAAAAACGCTATTCCTGCTAAAATAAAGCGTGGACGGCTTCGTTTGCCATCTCAACCAAGACAAAGAAATTTCGTTTGCTTTGACAAACACGTATTATCCAAACAAAAACGATATAATTATTGCTTTGCTTGTTGTCTTCAATAAACCTCTCCCAGTCACCACCTAACCATTTTTCCCAATCTTTAAGCTAAAGAAAGCACCTGATCATATTATATTTTTTTGATATTCAACTTATACCAAATAAGTGAATCTTTGGAATAAAATTAAATTGAAAATGAAAAAAAAAAAAACCTTTGAATATCACCTGTAAAAAATTTCCACTAAATTTTTCTATAAGAGAAATATTGAAAAATAAAAAAAATCTATTTTGACGGTGTTTCGAAAATGGAGGGCCTTCCAAAGCGAATATAATCGTACATAATCCCTTGAAAAAGGGCTTTGCATTCGGCTTTTGTGTCAAAAAGATTGTGTTTAATTCCCTTCAACAAGGTAGCTTCCTGGTACATCTACATTGAAATAGCCCTGTACAAGCCCAAATGAATTCCAATGTCTCGCTATTGTAATTGTCTTCCAATTCTTCCAGTTGAAAAATAAAGGAGAATTGCATTTACCATCATTAATCCGAACCTTTCAACACAAATTTAATTCATTTTTGAATATACATTATGATCTAATTAATTTGAAATAAAATTTAAAAATTTAACTACAGAGATCTATAATAAATAATCATGATTTTGCAAAAATTAATTAAACCCCCTGTAAAATTGGCATTATTTGCTGTCGACAAGTGCCAAACCGAAGTTTATATATCCCAATTCGGAATCAACTGCTTTCTTGCTTGAACTTTATTATGCCAGTAGTTCCTTCATAGTGGTTATTTTCCTTCTTCCTGTAATTTATCAATCACACTTCAATTTAATTTGATATGAGCGAGCAAGCACAGGTGGACTGTGAATCTGTTTGACATTAAATTATACAACTAATTTGACTACAAGAAATGATTTGAAAATGCTGTTAAAAATAAATAAATTCAAAGCATTTGTCTTAATTATTTTGGAATTTTTATAAATTAAAAAATATATGAAATTATTTCCCTTATACCAATTTTAATTTTCTTTCCTAAGAGCTATTTAGAATAGTTATCAAACGAAATGCTATAAATTTAAGGAATTAAAAATTAGGGTTGGGAAAATGAACCTTGTTACTTGTGCAAAAAACCAATCCTTTTTGAATAATACAAGTGCGACAGTGAATACTAAATCTCCATCTAGGATACAGATCTGTATATCTTTCCCATAATCCATATTGCCTAATACCTGCAAAATATTGCAAAATAATAAAGATTTGTGCTAACAATATCACATAATTAAAAAAAAAAAAAGTTCCCTGCTGTATTAATTTGACATGAATAACTTTACCTATCACTGGATTAAAGATAAAGTTTGTTGACATATTAGGATCGGGAATCTGGAATATAGAATTCTAACAGCAGACCGGATCAGGAAATCCTATTTTCTCCCATAATGTACAACCATGTCTTGGAGGCTCAATATATAAGGTCACCAAACACAAAATAATTACTTCCTTGTTATTACATTTCCAAAAAAATAAATATAGTGTATAGCTATATTTGCAAAAAATAAAAAAAATAAAATAAGCAACCAAAATCAAAAAAGTGTGAGAAAAATAGAGAACCTGGACTTATTTTAATGAACAGGATCAATACTTTAATAACTCCCAAAATATATCCTGGAACCCCATGCATAGATATTGGTAAGTCACCAAGTTCTTAATTATTAATTGTAAATTGTCCATCTTTATCTGTTTCTACTCCAAAATTGGTAACCCTAATATCCACAGAAACAGAAAATTGAATTTGTTATATCCATAATTATCCATTAAAAATATATATATATATATTATATTAAATTTATTATTGCAGACGCAAAAATACATAAGTCCACTTGGATTCAATTTGCCAGGAGTATATATATATATATATAAAATTTATTATTTGCAACGCAAAATTATAGTCACCTTGGATTCAATTTGCCAGGAGCCAATATCTCCAGGAGGTGCCAGCCCTACATACGCTTCATTTGCAGGTATATTCTCGTCCCTCACATCCCTATACTGTCTTTTTATTATATCATAAATTTTGATACAGTTATGAAATTGTACTTTCTTTCTTTTTTCTTTCGAAATAAAAATTAAATAAAAATAAAAATATAGAATGCTTACCTACCTATCTAACACTAGTAGCCTGCCAGAAATATTACCCCGTTGATCCGACGATGGAAAATCTTCAGAATGAGGAAAATCGTAAGGCCACCTTTGAACTTCATTTATCATCTAAAATCAAATTTTATATCAATATTACTGTTCCAATTTTATTTCCATGTCTATAAAAATACGAAGTGAAAATGTATAATATTAACAAGTTAAACCTGTTTTTTAGCATCCTCCCAAAGTGAAAGGGAGTTGTTTTTGTCTGGCACCGCATTGAGATAGACAAAAACAGGGCCATACACTTTCTTCCAGGGCTCATTGGGCCTAAAGCTTATTATCATTTCTGCTCCCGCGTAATGAGTGCTATGAAATACCTGGCACGTGACTCAGCTTAATTAACACAGGGGAAAAATGATAATGGTGTTTCTAAATTTTTGTCTAATTAATATTTAAAGACCTTTATTTTTAAAAGATAATTACAAAGTCCTTAAATTTTAATTCCGTCCATAATTTCATTATTTCATCCAAAATTACACCATTCTCTGGTTAGTCTTAATAATTTAAATGAGTCCAACGAGAGAGAAAAGATTTAAATCCCTATATACACCCATCTACCCTAGCTGCTAACCTTTTCACTCCAGCCTCTTTGCGTCTTTCTTCTACCATCTTCATTTTCTAATATTTTTTAAAATATAAGAATTTGTATTTTCTAAATCAAATCACACGGATTATGCTGTATTTTCTTTTATAAAAATTTTATTTATTCAAATAAAAAATAAATTTGAAATCCTGAAATAAAAAGAATTATAATTATCCCACAAAAGAAAGAGGAGGTTTGCTTACAGAAAGTGTTGTTGGGCCCACATGAGAGGTAAGGAACTGCTTACGTGGTCCACCAGACCTGAATTCAATACTAGGAGTGATTAACCAAAAGCCAACAGTTGAGTCAGTAGAAATCCACCCGTGAACTCCATTGTCCAAGCTTTCACATGAGTATTCATATTTGTCATCTACCTATTCACATTTGGTTTTTTCTTTTTATTATAACCAAACAAATACCAAAAACCAAAACTAAAATTAAAATATTCTATTACTACAATACCTACCTCTCCCTTAAATTCTGGTTCAATTGGATTCACAAGCATCACTGCCTCTGGATAGGCTAGAGCTTGGCCTCTTCCCACCAATCTATCATCAGGTGATGGCATATATCTCTGTCTATTGTCCGCTACGGCCATGTAGTTAAACCTGTGATTAGTTTCAGTCGTTATCAAAATAACTAGAATTAGCTATTTGAATGGTTGTCCGTCAGCACTTATATGTATTTTAGATACTTATATAAAATTAGGATTCTAAATATCCAAAAATTGATTCCAGTGGACCTAATTATTCAAATGGAATTGATTTTTTTTCCTCATGTAACCTAATTTAGGACCACTTTTGAGAAAGTCCAATTTGGGTTGGTTGAAACACGCAGTTTGTTCCTCCTGGTGCCTACTTGTTCGTTTGCTTGTCAATTTGCTCTTTTTCATTTGGTAAATAGTGGGTATAGCTACTAACGACATTTTTATTTTTTTTTTATTTTTTATTTTTTCAAAACAAGCAATCCAACATTATATTATAAAAATAATAAAAGGGAATAGAGAAGATTTATCTACTTGTCTTTTCTAGGCTTGAAAGCAATCCTTGTATTGTCAAGATTGAAAGCAGGCCATTCCTCCGAGTGCTCATAAATTGCGTAAGTGTAGAAACCCGACGAACCACCAAGAATTACATATCTGAAGGAAAAAAAAAAAAAAAAAAAAGGAAAAAAAAAAAAAAAGAAAAGAAGGAAAAAAAAAAAAAAAGAAAAGAAAGAAACTATAATATTAATTTTTAAAATTTAAATTAATTATTTAAAAGGTAAATTTTAAGAATCGTACCTTTTATCGATGTTCAATGGAACAAGCTTTCCGTGAAGAGAGGAATTCCATGTTCTTGTGAACGAAAGTTCTATCTGATCCTCATTCTGTACTACTATTTTGAAATTTGTTCCTTCCATCCTGCATAACATTAAGTTGATGAAATTACAAAAATATACAAAAAAATAAATTAAAAAAAAATTGAATTTACACAATAAAAAACAAAAATACAACTGATAATTACATGCAAGCACAAGAAGCATACCTGTCAAAGTTACCCTTTTTTCGAGTAGTTGATTCATCACTCCATACGAGATCCCAGTACCTTCATATATAAATTCCATAAATTTATATCATGCATTAATTTAAAACTGTCATTAAAGGATAATTAAATTTGCTAATCTCAGAAGAGAGCCTAGCTAGCTAATTGTTGCCATCATTGGAAATGGGAACTTTTGAGCTCACTTCACGTTCTCAACAACCTCTCGCACAGCTAAGGAAAGCTATACTTAGCTTTTTCAATAAGACAAGACATTGTTAATGGTGGGTTTGATGTTACTTGTACCAAAGAGAGGAAAAAGAATATAAAGAAGCATTTGTATAGACTACTGTGTGTGTATATATATATATATACCCTCTGTCACTTTCTTCATTAAGAACTTCAAGCAAATTGTTGATGCCATTGTACTGTATTCCGGTGATGAATCCTTCCGGCAATGATATCGTTACCTGGACAAAGCCATTATCGAGCACCACCTATACCGAAAATTAAAGAAACAATCAAAAACAACTCATAATAACATTAATAATTACCTGGAAAATGTTAAAAAGAAAGGTTTCTACATAATTTTCTTGAATTTGGAGTCGCACTGCCTCTGGTATTTCTTGATCGGTATGAGAATATGAATTCTGATACCGTAGTGAAGAGAATGAAGCAGACAACTCTAAGAAACACAGAGAGAAGGACAAAGATGAGATAATTAAAACTTTGTCTGCAAAAGCCATTCTATAGAAAAATATGATTTTTTTTTTTTGAAAATTTTCTCTGTTCTTGCCTATTTGCAATTGCAGTAGCAGCTCTCTGTGATTCAAGATCCTCTATTTATTTATAATAGGAAGAGGTGAGGAGAGGAGAAGAATCCTCCCCAAATCTTTAGTTTTTGATTGTATATTTTATTCTCTAATTTTGTCATTAAGGAAACGAATCTTAGCTTATTTGCTGTTTGCCAAAAGGAATTAATGTAGGTATAAACTATAAAGGCATGTGAAAGGTTAATATGGAATGTTTGGTTATTTCCCTTTTTTTTTTTCTTTTAATTATTTTCTGGAGTTGTAGTTGAACTTGCAGCTTTTTGTTTTAACCAAACATGACCCTATCTTACCAGTCAGGTGCTTAACTGTTTTGGTTGCTAGTCCTCGTATCCCAACCAAATGAGCACTTTCCTTAACTAAATAATGGAAAATTTTCGCCCTCCACTACACCCAATGTATGAGCTCTTACCAAAACCAGCTACAAACATTATTTTATTTCAAAAAAAGAAAAAAAAAAAAAACAATAACATTTTTTTAAAAAATCTTTTTTCTCATTGACTTGATATATAATTAGACTCGTTCACCGAATATAGGCAAGTCTTATGCTTAGTTATATAATATGTATTTGAATTGAATTTTGAAGATTGATTTCCATTCATCTTTTTTTTTTTTTTTCAAAATACTAATTTTATAGATAAAGTTTATTTGGATATGTAGTTGATTTTGGTAAATCGAAAATCTATAAAACTATTTTTCGTTCATCTCTGTCGATTATGAGAATCCATTTTAAAATCTCTCAATTCATATTTATTTATCTTTGTTCTCGATTCAAATGAATCTAGAGTATTTATTTATGGATCTTTTATTTAAAAAAGTCTACCAAAACAAATCTTAATTATTTCAAAAATTAAACATATCACTTTTATTTTTTTTGGCTTAAGAATTAAGAAAATCCAAATAATTATGCATATTTTAAAATTTTTTTTATCCAGTTAAATAAGGAACACACAGCACATATTTAGGGGTAAGCAATATTCACGTTAGACTTGAAAATTGAATCCATCCATCTTATCTGGTCATTTTAAATATTATAGAATTCACTTACTGAACGTTTTGGTTAGGAATAATTATTTGATTTTCGATTTATTTCGGTTTTATATATATCTAATCAAATTTATTTTTTAGATCTAAAATAGTTAATTCATTATGAAATAATTGAACTAAACCCAAAACAAATTGATTTTGTATTATTTGGTTGCAGGTTCAATCAATATAAAAAAAATATTTGACCAGACCAAAAGGAGTTGGTCTATTTCGATTAAATCGATTGCTCAACCTTATTCATGCCAACATATAACTCAAACACATCCTTTCTACAATTATGTAGAATACCAAAGAACCAACTTATATTTATTATTCATATAACTCAATTACGTATAATTCACTCCTCAATTGGATAACTCATAATGTTATTCCAGACTATTCAACCTCTCAGCGAATCTTTATTGTATAGCCTATATATAATAATTTAATGATATTTTACTTATTGAAATTTCTATTATGCAATATCAAATATAGGCATAGAGAGCTTTGAAAATTGATTTATCATCGAATATGATGATACGGGCCAAACGATCCCAAGACTTATGATATGTGAATATAATATTGAGTCTGAGGCCACTTCTATTGAATTAAAAGTTTGTAAAGTATATTTTTAGGCTTACTACGAGCTTTGGTGGCTTTAAGCTTATTTAAGTCCTAGTGCCAGTTTGACTCAAGGTAATGGGTCGAATATTATTCCAGTTTTACTAGACCTCCAAATGCAAGAATCAAAGAAACTAATATATATTGGTCTCTCAAGTTTTTATTAATATAAGCAGGTAATTTTATTTTTATTAAAAACTTAAAATATGTGACAAAAAAGTAAAATTAACAAAAAAAAAAAAAAAAAAAAAAAAAAAAGAAGAAAGTGTACATTCTTTATCTCAGAAAAAAATAGATGTCCTTTAAATGATTGAAAGTAAAGGGAGAAATAGTAATATACCTAATATAAATACTTATATTTGTATCTACATATTTTATTTCTAATTCAACTTTACATTTAATTTAAACAACAAACACTTATTAAAAATAAAATAAAATTACTTTTTCATTAAAATTATCGATATGATTTCTATAATTACAGCTGGTAGCAAGGGACCTAAAAGTTTTAACCCAACCCAAGAATGCAACAACAAGGGTGCCGAATAATATAACAAAATAGTCAATAAACTACATGCTAATTCGAAACCACTCATTAAGCAAAGAAAAATGAAATTAAAAAGTAATCAAGAAAAAATAATTATGTATAATAATGAGCTAAAAATAAAAATAAAAATAAAATAAGATATTTTTATTTTTTTTTAACTGAAAAGATGGATCATATATTATTACGATCATGCATAAAAATATCATAAACAATAGATGGTGGGTTAGATACCCATTCTATCGCATCAGACATAGAATTGGTAGCCCGAGCAAGCATAAGAACATCATAACCAAGATATTTTTGTTATTAATAGCTTTAATTTAATTACAACTAAATACTCCACCATCCCAATTTCATAATTGAAAACAACTAGCGTGAGCTCTAACTGCAACTGTTTATTTCATTCCCCACCATCTCATTGAAACTAATTAAACAAACTATCCATAACCAATAATGATTTTCTATTTTCTTTTCTACTA